CTTAAACCAACACATCCATGTTGTGTGTTGCAGGTGGTTGGTTGCCAGGCCAGCACAGTAGCAGCAACTTTTGCCAGTTCCTGCAACCTGAGCGGCTGCCAGTGAAACAGCGTAATGGTCCAGCTGCTGATCAGACACAGGACTTCTTCAGGACTTCTTCAGGACTTCTTCAGGACTTCTTCAGGACTTCTTCAGGGCGGCTCCCAGACGCAGCGGCCCTCTCAGCAAGGCCTCTGAAGGCCTGTCTGCCAGAGAGCTGGAGCTGGGCTGGACGGAGATCACGGCCGTCTGCTGCGCTGCCAGGCTCCGACTCTCCTTTACCGTCCGGCCAACTTCTCACGCCGAAGTCTCAGCAGCATTCCCAGATTTCCGGGAAGAGAGATTCCTAATTTTTCCTTCCTCTGAAGGAAGACCAGAGGCAGGTATCACCAAACGGTTCCATTCAATCCTCTTATTTCTTCCTAAACAACCACAAGTGTCACCTTTCCAGGATTAATCCGTCGGAAATGAACTTTAACTGAAAAATGTTTATTTATTTCATTGCAAATAAATATTTTTCAATAACCTGTCATGAGTTTGTTGGTCTAAGCCGCTGTGGTGATAATAAAGTTGAGTGGTTGAACGTCAGAGAGCGTATTGGATGCTGCTGGTGGCTGAATCAAAAGGCATTGAGTTCCCTCAGCCTTTGTCTGCGTTGACACCCTAATCCGCCGCAGCAGCCGTGCAGGTGTTGTGCAGCATTCAGGCCTTTGAGGCGGCTTTCAGTGCACGCCGCAGCACCTCTGTATTCACCCTGATGTCTCTACAAGGAAACAGTGGATCAGTGTTTCATGGGCTCCACGTCAGCTGTCACGCAGCCGCTGTGAGGAGCACATTTACAGTACAAAGATCCCCTTAGACTGTCTTTGTGTCAGCATTGTGCCGCAGCCTCTTTCTTCTCCTCCATAATCACGACTGATTAAATCCCTGCTCGCTGTTTCCGAATGCTGGGTGTCAGTCGAGCGGGCCAGGTAAGCCTGAGAAGATGAGGGGATGACGGGAAGGTGGGGCCAGGAAGGAAGTTTTATCGTTGGGCTGAGGTGTCAGTGGCAGAGTGAAGGGATAATAAAATGGATCTGTTTATTCTATTATTCAGAGTGTATCTTATTGTGGCGGTGACATGCTCAGAATGCGTGTCAGCCTGTGGTTTGACTTTTTGTGTTTTGGATTTCTGCAGCAGCTTACCAGACCCATGTGTTTACCTTTCCTTTCCAGAAAGCAGCACCTTGAATACCTGTGTGTCGCCGATGAGGGTTATTAAATTTGACGAGTTAAAAAATGTCTTAACGGTTATCTCACCTTTGTGTCGTCCCTATTGTATCTACCTAGAAGCAGGGCGCTCTCCTTTCGACGCCAATGGCAGCAGCGAAGATAAACAGGCCATGTTTGCTTCTTTTATGACTCTGTGCCGTAGCCTCTGATAATAGCCAGAGAGGAATCCTGAGCCACAACAGGAAGCATGTTCTGATGGCTGTTGGGATGTCGGCATTTCCTCCTTTCTTCTGTCAGACGACGGATGTTTGCAGGTTTTGATCTGACACTTGGTGGAATCAAAGGAACATGCAAAGGAAAGTAAACAGCTTTTATATATCAGTTTCCAAGGAAACACACCCATGATTTAATTCTTCTGTTCATCTCAAAGAAATGGAGGAATCTAAAAAAGTTCACGTTTCGGGGAGATTCACCAGCCTGCGGTTTATCAACAGTTTACAGCAGAAAATGGAAGCGAGACGAGAACTTAGCATGTTCTCGTCTTCAATCAGATTGTAAAAGGTGCTAACATGCTAAGGACATGATTGAGCCTTTTTACTCAGCAAGGATGCATGTAAAAGTTGCAGCATGATGGCACTGAAATTATTCATATGTTAGATTGGCCTAGTCAAAGGCCTTAGGAAAATCAGAGAATTCATCTTTGTGAAGAATCTAGCAGAGTTTAAGGTGTTTGAACTCCTTTTTCAGTTGCTGCATGTGGATAAATTCACCTTGAACTGTTTGTTTCAGATTAATAATTTTGAAAATAGTTTTTCTGTAAGAAAAGTTGGAGTCAACAGGATGACTGTGACTTAGCATGCAAAGTTTTTGTCATGCAGAGCTAAACCCAAGGACATTTCGTCTGTAAGTCAAAGTTAGCCTGAGAGAGAGAGAGAGATCTGTGCTGTGTCAGCAGTGTGCTTAAACCAACTCCAAAGATTAATCACAGGAAAACACATACAGCACACACACACTCACATGCACACACACACACCAACAGGCTTGCACACACTCAGCCAGATACCCACAGTTGTATATCTCGCATTCCCAGCAGTTCAAAGTGTGGTTGGTTTGAAACAGATTAAAAACTGTCTATGAAGTGATGCATTGCAATTGTCATAGCAAGGGTGGGAGAGATCTTTTTTGCATAAAAATCCCCTCTTTCTTCCCACCGCTATCAGCAAAGAGATGGAGAACTCACTAATCCTGCTGTGGTCGCATTTGCATCGGTGGCAAATAAACAAAAGCGCACCATTTTTCATCTCCAGCTTCTATATTAAAAGGAGATGATGGGAGGGGAGGGGAGTCGAGGGAGGAATGAGAATGAGGGGAGAAGGGCACCCAGGCAGACCCTTTGGTGTCACAGATATGCCTGCTGATGTTCGGTTTGGTAAATGGAAACTCCTGCAGCCTGTTTGCACCATCCATCCTCCAGATCTGGAGGTGGCGAGGACCTCCGCGCGCCACATCACAGAAAACCCAAATGTCTCAGTGAAAAGTTCTCAGTCTGCATCAACATGGCATCTGCAATGAAGAATGTGTCACTGGAACGGAGAAGGCAACCAGTGCAGACTGGGATTGTACCTGACAACTCTCGCTTTCATGAGACTGATGATGAAGACAGAAACTGAGCGTGGACCACACCCTTCTGGCTGGGCCGCCCCTTGAAGGGTCTGAGGTTGAATCTAAAACATGATTATCACAAAGTTATGATGCCTCTTACCCATCAGCGACATACAGTTTCCTGCTTTGTGTTTTTGTGGTCTTGTCTTTAGGGTTAAATGCTCAAATTATGTTGTTTCCTCACTTTTTAACTCTGAGATACTCTGGCCTCTGCTTGGTTTATTTAGTCAGATTTCAGCGCAGTATTTTATAAATAGGTGGGAATATGTGGTGAGGTCCTTCAATGGTTCTGTCATGAAGTTGCATTCACACCAGTTGTGTTTAATCTGGTTCAATCCAGGCCAGTTTGCTTGGGCTTGTGTGAATGTGCAATCAGATCTCAGTCTGGTTCGGTTGCTTTGAATTCACATGTGAATATCAAGCAGACTGGAGACATCTCCAAAAGCAGGAAGTGCACTGCAGCACAGGGCATTCTGGGTAAATACAACCTAAAGAAATGTTAGCAAAGCTAATGCTAGCAGGAAACAACACAACGTCCTACAGCTGCAGAAATCTGACACCACTCCCTTTGGGTTTCCATTTGGTGAAGAATGCAGTTCAGTGCTTCTGATTGCTGTGACGTTCATCCATAAAGAACATTATAAGGTCTAATAGGCAGCTGGTTTCTGCATATGGTATCCCTGGGTTGTCAAGGCAGGACATGAAGAAAAAAAGTTTAGTTTCCTGCCCACTAAAGTTACCAATACTGAAAATATTCTAATGTTTCTACCTGGTATTCTCTTCAGATATTTCTGTGTGACGTTATTCAATAAGATCCAAGTTTAGCCGATGCCAAATTTCAGTCAGAAGGAAAACGTGAACATCAGTTTTATGGCTTTTTTTCAGGAGGAAATGATTGGGAGAGTCTTCCTACCAGGCCAGCATCGCTCTGCAGGGACAACAAACTCCATCACTCGGCCTGCAGTCGGTTTCCTCCACTTCATTCTGCGGCTGGAAGAGATTCAGAGGAGCATCCTTCTTATCTATGTGTGTATGCTTGTGTACAGTGAAAGGCTAATCTAATCACCACACACTCTCTGCTTCCTCCAGGTGTATTACTGTACCAGGAGTGTAATGCAGAGAGAGGGAGGAGGAGCGAGATAAGTAATATTGATCTGATGTGGTGATTGTCACTCCGTTGCCTGCCTTGAATAGCTAATCTCTTTACACACGGGTCAGGGAGAAGAAAGGCAGCAGGGCTGCAGGTTTAGCCGCAGCTAATCGACAGATTGTTCTCGGTGTGGGGCGATCAAACAGCGGCTGATAACGCTGGATGTGAAATTGTGTCTCCTAGCAGCTGATGGTGAGTTTGGTCACAAACTTCTGGGCTTCACCATGCAACTGATGTCGATTGTATCGGCTTAGACATTTGCAAAGACTGAGTAAGTAAATCTTTAGCGTTGTGCAGAAGTCTCAGACTGAATCCAGGCATGCGTGTTTTCATTTTGGTTCACTAATATTAATCTGTCACATCATTGTGGAAGAAGTGCTGCTTGTTATTCAACACAATATCTGTTTCTGCAAGGCTCTCTCAAGGTTCCACCACAACATTTTAGTCTGGGTAAGGTCTGGTCTTTGACTAGGCCACTTTCAGCAGAATAATTAACAGTCGCACAAAGCAGAAATGGTTCAGGAATGGTTTCAGGAGGCACAATTAATTTTTTCATTTTCATTGCTTGTGTTGGGTCTATATTACTGATGTGCAGGTCCACTGAAAAGATAACTTATACAAGGACCTAGTGGCTGACTGATTTTATGTTAATGTTAAAATAACATTTAAACCTCGATCTTTAATCTATTACTGGCTGTAACCCATTAGGAAAATGTTCTCTGCTTTATTTTAACTCTTGTCTCTTTGTATGACTTTATATAATTTCTGTTGGTTCGAAAGTATCTCAGTAAAACTAATTTTGATTAAAAATAAAAAACAATCGTGACGTATTAATATGTCAATAAAAGCTATTAGCTGCTTCAAGAAATGGAGACTCCTGATTGGTGAGGCGGAATAAGCCCCTCCCCCAGCGCTCATCGATGTGCTGCTGCTGAAGAGTTACAGATATTAGAGTTGTATAATATTTATTTTGGGGAAGTAAAGTCAGTCAACAAGACAGAAGAGCTTCACATGCAGGAGGAGACTGAACGTATTCAGTTCTTGGTGCCGTTTTGGTGAGCTATGTGTCAGCGGGGTTCCGTTAAGCTAACGGCTAACTAGCATAATTAAAGATACTAAAGGATAAAGCTAGCTGTAAAACTCAACAGATCCATTTATGTTGTCCTTAAAAATCATTTATTGGTTGTTCAGTTATTTTAGTTTTTTTAAAACCTTTTCATTCGTTTTGTTGAAATGCAGCAGAAACCGTGAACCAACAGGGCAGGAACATGTGAACAATGTCTCCTAGCAGACGACATTATGCTAATGGATATGCTAACTGTTGGGGAAAGGGGACGTCCTGACACCTGAATGATGAGTAAATCTAACACATTCCTCTCACTGATTTCTTGTGGAGTTTAGAAACTTTTCATTATCAGAACAATTTCAGATGTGACTGAATTCCTATTGTTGCCCTCAAAGCAAGAGACAAAATTGGCTTAATTATTTGATTTTATTGCATATTTTTAAGTGACTTTGACCCTTTTATGGGCATAAACATAATTACTCTGTTTAATTCAGGCCGGATTGTAAGAGTCCTGGAAACTGAACCCGGAGGACATCAGCTGGGCCTCCAGACACTTGATCTCCAATCATCTGGAAGAATCCAGCGGCTGGTAGGTCTGTTAAAACCCAGAGCCTGTAAACTGACTCATACATCGTCAACTTAACTCTGTGCTGTTAGATGCAACGCGTAGATATTAAAGGATCAAAACTGAAATTGAACACTTTAAAGTGAAAGAACCAAACTAAGATTCCTGTGGTAGTTTTTGTTTTGATTGACTTTTTGACCATATGCAGAGAAAGATGGTTTTAAATGTCATCAGCTTTTTCTTACCAGAGTAAAGTCATATTCTCTATTTACTCTGTCAACTCTTCTTAACTCAGCCTAAAGTAATAATCATCATAACAACACTGATGAACTTGACGGGTCGCTCCTCAGTTATCACTGAAAACACTTGTTGCTGCAGAAAGTAATAAAATAACTAAAGCAGTAATTAAAATAAACAATGTGAATGCTAGCATTATTCAAAGATGCATTTAAATCTCAAATCAATCCATATGATCAATGTCAGTAAATATGAATCCCTTCTAATCATCAATAGACTAATTCTGCTTAAAATCTGTTGAGTTTTGTTCTTTTATTTTATCCTACATGTTTGTTTTTCCTGAGTTTTCTTGATTTCATATCTGTCTTCATAGTCCAACTTTCACATGAAATTTGCTGCTCAGATTGTTTGTGTTGGATGAACCAATAAGTCGTCATTTTCTCTTTTTTTTTCGATAAATGATTATGATTCCTGGATGTTTGTGATGCCCAGAGTTCTCCATATTTACATGCGATCAGAGCTGCTGGGCTATGAAACTGTGTTGAGTTTCTTTGCGACTTTTCCATGACATCAACGCCAAAACACTGATTTTATAATTTTCATCCACCTGGTCGCACGCTGACGATCATTAAACCTGTTTGTGTCATTTTGTGAAGATCCTGTTTCAGTATTTCCACATAATATTCTTTTCTCATGATGTCATCTGTTCTGTGAGGCTCACCAATCCCTCCCACAGCCTCACATGATGGAGCCACCGCCGTGCCTCACAGTGAAGGCGCCGTTCTCTGTCTTTGTGGCCCAAAGCTTTTCAGGTTCATTAAACCAACAGAAATGAATTTCATTCTGCATGTTCTTCTTTTGGATGTGGAGGAATAGCTTCTTCTGGCCTGTCAGTCCATGCTGGTTCAGTCCTGATCAGCATGGAGGTGTAAATCCCTGAATTTGAAGAACATTTTTATTTCGCAAACAGGAAAAATCTCAAAGTGTCTTAAAACATGAAATAAGTCAGATTTAGCATGTTTTTTTTCTATCACTGCCTGTATGAGGGCTTACTGTGTCAAACGCTCCTCTGGTGGAGCTCCACCGTAGGCGAGCCCCCCCCCCGCCTGCCTTTCCCCTGACCTTGCAGCTTTATGATTGCAGTAATACGCTGCAGATGAAGAGGGGAGCAAATCCACCGAAGATAATAGACAAATCATCTCCAAGAGGTGCTGAAATAAAAATCCCCAGACAAACAGGCAGCCTGTGTGCTCTTGGACATCCCTTTAAGGGAACTCCAGTGTTGATAAGTAATTATCCCAGCCCAAAGGCATGATGGGATTCTCAGGCAGAGAAACATCTGTGTGATATGTTTGCAGCATTGAGCAAATCTTTAAAGAACGGATTGCAGACGGAGAATCTTTGGATCAGTAATTAAATTAGTCATTGTATGTGCATGATTTTTAGAAATATGATAACGCTTGCATGTATGTGTTTAATGTCACTGGCATTTATTCGAGTGGACCCTTAAAACCACTTAGCTGAGCTGGAATCAGAGGATTTTCTGCTGGCCTCTCCCCCTCTGTGCTCATCAGGAACAATCCAGTTAAGAAACGCGACGCAGGAGGAGGAGGATGTTTAGGCTGAAGATAGCGCCGATATCTAAAATCTGTTTAAATGATGCTGTGAAGCTTATTAATAATAATGTAATTAGTTTAAAATTAAAATGAGTTGCACCATTAATAGTCCAGAGATCACAATTGCAACTGGTGATCATCCTGACAAATCAGATGATTTTTGTTTTCTATTTTATTACGTATTGACTGAATTTACCCTAATTAGAGCTCTCACCAGTTTGGTCTATATTTCACCAGAGAAAGTGAATATGTTGAGATGCTTTGTTACAGAAATGGGCAAATTAATACCTCAGTTGGACTTTAGGTCACATTGTTCTCATCGTTTTGCTGGTTTTGCGACTTATGGCTTGGTCTGACATGTTTATTTTTCTCTTCCTGATGCATTTTTTAACTGTGACTCATAGTTTATAAATTATGGTGTGTTTATAATCTTGATTAAAAACCGAAAACAACCAGAACCAGCAGCTCAACCCGGAAAGTCCAAACTGTAAACCTCTGAAAAGATTTTCACACAGAAGACGTGTTAAGGCTGAATTAAATATGAAAACCATTCCAGGAAGGTTGGGAAGTGGCCTTTGACCAGGCCGTTGTGGTGCTGACTGTTGTAGTTTAGCTGTTTGGGATCATTATTCTGTTGCTGACGCAGGTTTTCCGTTTCAGATGATTTTTTTTGTTTTGTTTCATGAACGTAGCAGCTGAACCTGCATGTCTTCGTCTCCTGCACGGTGACATTCCCTGCTGCTGTGAGGAGTCAGGTGGTAGTTGCTGTGGCAGGTAGGGTTGGGTCACCTGCGTACAGCTGCAGGAATGTGAGGCATGACCGGCGGCAGCTCGGCGCTCCACTCCCAGGCAGCCACGCGTGTCCAAGCTGCTCTGCTGGTCGCCAGCTGCTGATACACTGGTTGTTTTCTTTGATTAGTTTTCACTTTTTATGTTGGAAACGTGGAGCCTGATTGTCTGCCTCTGTTCTCACTGTGATAACTACACCTGTAGATAATGATCTACCTGAGCTAAGGTTAACATTATTGATCGAAGATAACCGAAGCTGAATGTTGTTTTCTAACCAGAATGTCAGATTATTGTCGTGGTTTGCATTTTTGTAAGTTTGCCAATCCACACCCTGATCTGATTGTCGCTTCTTCATGTAAATGTAACATTAGCAGGTTGTTGGGTAAGTGGAAGCAATTATTGGCTTAAGCCGTGAACAGGATTTATAGAAGCAGCGTTCAGGTGGAAACTGTTAGCTGTCGGTGGCTACGAGGCTGTTAGCATGAGTCTGATTGGTTTATGGGTCTTAAAGCTGACAGGTTTTGAACTTGAGATGATTTTGCAGAAGAGCGACAGCATTCACACCAGAGCATGAACGCTGCGTGTGCGTGCTTCGGTGCTCTGCAGGAACGTTGCTACTCAAATACAACCCTTCTCAAACCCAGAGCAGCTTCTCTAAAGTCTGGAGGTTTCCTCCTGGAACTGAACCCGGTCAGCTGGGTCCAGGAAACTGTCTGGACCAAGAATCTTCCTCCCCTAAAGTAACAGAAATGATGCATCTCTGCAGGTAGAACAGCAGCTGCAGTCTTCAAAATCATTAAAACAGACATGCTTCAGTGATTTACGTTGGTCCAGTCGGTCCAGTCGGTCCAGTCTCTAAGAAGATGCATCGTTCCAAAACGCACAAAAATCATTTGTTTCCAGTTAGGTGAGCAACTAAAGACTTCAACTCTGAACTGGATTCAAAATAACAGTAAAGCACTAAAAATACTCATGTTATAACGGCTTGAATAATATTCATCCTCACTGGAGAATGAATGTTATTTTATAAAAATGAAGTGTTTTAACAGTTAGACACAAAACACATCAGTATGTTGATTAGATCGATTTCTGGCTTGTTTTACTGTTTTTAAGATGTAAAAATAAGGTGTGAATAGCAGAGTGTCTGCAGCGGCGTTTTATGTTTTACTATGTTGTCAGAGGAAGGATTGTAACTGGATGAACTGGTCCGGGTTCATGTGTTCACTAACTGTCCTCTCCGCTACTTGCAAAGTGAAAGAATTCAAGGAGCTTGTTCTGTCAGATTGTTGTTGTTGTTCTTTGTGCTGCCAGGTTATTAAAATACATGTCAAGACTTTGGCAGAGGTGTGAACCTTCACAGTTTAACATCAGTAACCGAAGAACGAACCGAGAATCTCTGACAAGACCTGAACACTGATATTCAGACGGGTTATCCAACCTGAGCTGGAGAAGAACAGAAAACCTTCCATCTGTTTAGACAAACCTCTGAAAGTACAAATACTGGAGATGGAAATCTTTCAGTTTCCAGCACTTTGATTGATTTTAGTCAAATCAAACTGTTGAACAATTTTACCATTCAGTCTGGAGATTTTGTTTAATTTATGTGGCTGACAAAAACATGTTTGTGCATAGAATTCTCTAACTTAAATAGGATAGCTTAGCTACCTGGATTTTTCTTAAAAAATAACAATTATCATACAAACGGCGGATGCGTAACGAGATATGTAGTTTATTCATAAATTACAGTAACAACGCATCTTAAAATCTATTTTTGAGCATTTTGAATCGATTCAGAACTCCCTGAATAGGAATTGTGATTCTCTCTAGAATCTGTTTTTTTTTGCACTTCTAACAAATGCATTCCACACTTTTCAGATTTTCCATGAGATACATTTTAAATCATAAATTTTTCCTTCTACTTCACAATTATTTGCAGCTTTCCCATAAAATACATTAAATTTGTGGTTGGAACATAACAGATCATTAAACGTTTAAGGTTTATGAAGATTTTGTGTTAATGTAAGATCCTCAGACTGGGATTGAAGCAGCATGAGTCTGACCTGACAGAGGTGCAGGTCAGAGGAAGAGGAGGAAGGAGCGTCGGGCTCAGAGCAAGAAGTGGAAGACGGTGTCAGGACGGAGCGGCTAGAGAAAATAAACAGACAGAGCTTTGAGGATATTCTATCTGAAGCTTAGTCCTGTTGAGTATAAATATGGTGGCTGGTAAGCCATGTAAATAGGCCTGTGTTTACCTGTCTGCACAGCCCAAATTAATCACCCATGCCGCCACGAGCCGCGAGGAACGCAGAGCAGGAGGGGTGAGGAGTGTAAACAGCACTAAAAGCTACTGGTTGGCACCGTCTTGTTTTGGTT